ACAATTATTTTTCATTTCTTAGTAAAAAATTAGTAATTTTCTTAGTAAAAGTAAATGAAGTAAAATTTCAGGCCGATTGGCAATTAATTTCCGTTTGGGATCAGTCATACTTTTTACATATATCATTACGTAAAATGTAGAGGGGAGGATATGCTTTTCAACTATACACTGAATTTATAAACTGAATATCTTACTTTCTAAAAGGAATTTCCTTGGTGCAAAAGGTTTTAATAAATGCAAATTTCCCATAAGTAATATTAGAAGCGTATACAGTTACAACGTACTCCCGATTACCTATGTTAATTAGAAACCAGAATCTATCGGATATCTTTATCTATATATATTAAGATTTTCATTCAATAATGATCAAAAATCTGTACTGCATATCTGTGTACCATAATATAATAATTTGAAAATATATATTTATCAGGAATTCGCAATTCACAGTAGTAATACAAGTTTTTTTTTTTTTTTAAACTTTATTTACGGCTCACAAGAAAAGAAGTTTAAGAATCGGATATGGCTACATCAGCTATCGGTAGGCCATCATTGTGCTACCTATAGCATATGAAATTTAAACATTTCTCTTAACATGTTAAACACTCCCCTCCCTGTGATAGAAAGCAGTCCTTTTCTTTTATCTGCCCCCATTCATTAGAACCATGAACTGATTTAAAAAAAAAAAAAAAAAGATATTGAAAGCAAAGGAAGATAGAGCAATTTTAAAAATAATGCAAAAAGCTTCTCTTTGAGTGAGGAATAACATAATATATATATAAAGAAAGAAAGAAAAGAAAGAAACAGTAAGACAGTTCTTTACTTTTAATCGTTAAGCACACCTTTTGGATGGAAAAAACAATACAGTCAAAAGTCTTTAATCCGGACTCGTCTGGACTTCAGTGATTCCGGAATATAGATCATCAGTTTAAATCTGGTAAGATGGCATGCAGAAATTATAAAATTAAAAATATGAAACCGTAATTTATGAAATAAAGAGCAATTATGATCTAAAGGCTATCAAAATTTACCAAAAAAAAAGAAAAAAAAAAACTTAATATTTATTTGTTTACTTTATTAAACAGTTCTTTCAACGTGTGCATGCGTAAAGCATACATTACTCATAGTCGAAATTAGAAAATTGTAACCAGAAAACTATTTGATGTGTATTCGTGATATTTATAATAACGAGGAATTTGATTTAAATCATATCAAAAACGGAGTACATCGAGATGAAATACTACATTTAGTAAGGAATTATAAGCCGAATAAAATAAAAACATCTGCCCTGAAGATAAGGATAGTGCTGACAGATCAACTTCTAGTTCATTGCACGACGTGCCGTCCCTCCTCCCACAGAGCAGCGTGAAATTGATAAACATATTTCAAAATTCTTACAGAATCAAAGGATGCCTTTATCGATTTTTTGAAGCAATTCCACTTTTTGTTTGATGGACCTCAAAACATGCTTTCGTTTTGTAGATCCTTTGGTAGCTCCAGAATCGGAAATTCTTTTTTGACATAATCGAAAGTTCAAGCTTACTTTTATAGAATTGCTCTAACAGTCTGCAAAAAATAATAAGCCAGATCCAATTAGAAGATTAAGGAACAACGCAATCTGCAACATTAACTGAAATAGATAATTAGATAATTTTAGCTTAGCTTATACCATGCGTTATACATTAAATGCACATGCGTAAACGTATTATGCGCATGCTTTAAAGGATTATGTATTGACGCATGTGCAGAAAGTTTGTAGCTTTGAGGTCCGGATTATAGATCATTCCGGATCATGGACGTCCGGATTAAAGACTTTTGACTGTATATGTGTGGAAGCTCAGGGTGAGGATGTTAAAGCACAAAAATTATTTTGAAAGAAACTATCAACTTACCAAGATCTACAAAAAATAATAATTTAGTTCTTCCCACATGACTAACGTAAGAATTCTGATATAAAAATCAAATAATTTATTAATGCACTAGGTAAGAACACTACTATAGAATACGATTCCCTCCCCTACAAGCAAAAATGCAACTACAGGTATTGGCATTGCCATTACGTAAGATATAAGGAATATTACTGCAGCAGCAATTGACTGAACTGCTTTTTTTCCTGAAAAATCACTACTTGCTCTAAAAATAGAAAGCTAAGCATATATGTCAGAAACTTTCATCACTTAACTTTATTGCTTTCATTATTAACTTACAGCTCTGTTTGAAATACGATAATAATCATGTAATTAAAAAAATTAAATTACTGGCTGTTGAAAAATCATATCGCAGCACATTATCTGTTTTATACTGTATTTAAAAATTTAACAACTGTTTCTTGTAACGGCATTTAACAGGCTAAACAGCCACAATTTAAGCATGCCTGATCTATGATATTACCAATGCTGTTGCAAGGTATTTATATTTTCTTTTACATAAACATATTTCAAACACATAATTAAGTGGCATACATATTTTCTTCTTTAACATTATCTTCCTGTAAAACAGCAGAAAACAAAATACCTTTGTTCACATGAAACATTCCCTTGGTATACAGCTTGCACCTTTTTTTGACTCGTTTTCGGCACTGATGAAAAATATACAGAAAGTGTTTTCCGTGTGTTGAATTTTCTGCTTTTCTAACTAAAGACATGTGGTAGCCAAGTCTTCAGCCTGGCCCTTCAACAACAGCAGTGAACGAAAATAACGAAATCGAAATATACCAAGCACGTATTCTTTACCTTTGGCATATTCGCTGGAATTTTATCCATCAGTTTTAAAAAAAGTCGGCCTACAAGTGGACTAGTAGATGAGACCACTGAAAGCTCCTAGTTCGAACTGGGTATGAATCCCTGCAAATTACATATACTTTCTCAACTGAAGTATACCTAACAAATTTTTTCCATAGAAATTTGATGAAACAATTTTGCCGGGTGCGCTATGTATTAATGAAGTAACCTCCTCGTTCGGCAAGGGTATACTGTAATGCAATTTGTACCCTTCACAGAGATGTCAGAAGATATGACCGATACTGTGAAAGGTGGACAGACACATCGCATCAAAAAGTGTAAGAACGTCACCGGTATGTAAATAATATAGCGTAACTCAGTGATGGCGAACCTATGGCACGCGTGCCACACTCAGCTCGCACAGCATCATGTGCCGGCATGCAACTAAAATATTATTTCTTTAATCAATAATTACAATCAAATGATATTATATAATTTAAATTAGTCTGTTCTTGAACGTTTCACATACTTACTTATCGCATAATGCCACTGGCATATGGCCCATGCCTAGCCTTTAAAGGTGCATTCAGAAGTGGGCGTAAAGTGCATAGAGGCATAGTCATAACTGTAACCACCATTATTTAATTCTAAAAATCGCTGGTGCTATAAAAGCGCTATGACACATTCCTCTGTTTCAGGCAATCACCCTGTTTTGAACAGTTTTTTAAAGAATTTATCACTGAAAGCAAGAAGCACGATTCCCCCACCTTCCGTAAAATTTTGCGGATCATTCATGTTTCAGTTAATCAGCGGTCTGAATCAAAAACTTCATTTTTGTGGTTATTAAAGAGTACTCGTTTTCCTTTACATTGTTACCATAGAAGTTGCACAGTGGTAAGCTGCTCCCCCCCTCCACGTGTCAAGGCACAAAAACTGCATTAAAGAATTCTCCTTCCCAAATATTTTCATGCGAGATAAGCCTCCACAAGGTGTTAATTGCATCTACATTTGTTGCCCCTGGGTATTTGCAATCATGTATACTGTGCAAAAAGAAAGGACAGTTTTATACCTTCTGTTCTACTGGGCCGATTGACGAGATTCAAATTGCATTTTTCATATCTCAAAAGTGCGATTTAGGATATATATTAGATTTATATATAGCATTGTCGTAACATAGATATTTTGACACAAAATTGAAGTTTTTCTGAAATAACATACCAATTTTTTTTCCATATTTCAATTCTACGATTTAAATTTTGTAATTTTTGGTGAGAAATTTATGGACAAATTAAAAAATTTATCTTCGCGAATTCTTTTCAGTTTGCACCAAGAATAATTTCCTTGGTGAACTTCCCAAGAGAAGGCATCGTTCATACTTTCAAATAATTTTAACAAAGTGCGTACACTACATTTTCATTATTATCGTTTATAATAAATACGCCAAATTTCAAAACGCACCAAAACATAAATTCACTAAGGAAGTTGTGAATAAAAATCTGTAATTTTTTGCAGGTATGCTTAGTAATACATCTACTTTGGAGTGATAATTAAAAAATTTTTTTTGAAAAGTTTATAAACCGAAATTTTGAAGTATGAAAGGAAAAATTAAGTAAGCTTTAACAAAAAAAAAAAAAAAAAAAAAAAAAAAAAAAAAAGAAGAGAGAGAGAGAGAGAGAGATTAATAAATATATATCAAATTCAATTAACATTGAGGCGCTAAACTTTTGAGAGCTGATTTTTTAAAAACTACTTGTGCAACTTTTACAAAACTAAGCAGTTTGGCTAATTTGAGAAATCGTAGAACCGAAATATGGGGGGGGGACTGGTATGCCATTTCAGAAAAAGTTCAATTTTGTGTCAAATTACCTATGTTAAAATAATGCTATATATAAATCTAATATATATCCTAAGTCGCGTTTTCGAGACATAAGAAATGCAAGTTGAATTTCATCTATTGGCCCAGTAAAACAGGGGGATAGAGAAGTGTCCTTTTTTTTTAGAAGGGGCAGAATACCATCTTAACCCATATACCATACAAATCCACCAAACAACATAATAATCAAATTTATCCTTAAGATACAATTAAAAACACATGTCTAAAATATAGATATACATGTTACTCAGCAGTTCGTTTACATAACGACCATTCTTTCTCCAAAATAGGGCATTCGCCTTTAGTACGTAACACGAATTTTTTTAACATTATTTTTGCACATTAAATTCAAAACTGTACAAATCAATGCAGAACATTTACCAACTTAAATAAGCAAAATAAAAACTTACATTGAACTCCACCTGTTGGGGCATTCGTACACTCGGACCTCGGGGACCTCCTGGATACCGGGGGCCCATGAAGCTCTAAAACAAAACAAATTTGTTAGAATATATTTGAACAAAATTAACACATTACAGTTTCATTCTCAATGATTATTAGCATTCTAAAGATTTCCAATAAGCTAATTTCTTGTAAGCAAATCATGGATGTTATTTTATTATGAATGCTTCGATTATTTAGTTACTTTTCTCATATAAATGCCTTTAATTTTGATAAAAGGCAATGCAATCTTATGCTTTATCTTCATCAATAAATTTTATCTGAGTCACACAGATGTTGGACACTGCACGAATAACTCGATGAGCATTATGTCTCTCATGGTTGATTGATTAAATCTAGATTCAAGATAATTTCAGCAACAATAAAAGCGAATAAAGTTACTATGATATTCAATCATTTGTTAAATAAAGGATCCACGGAATTATGGGGCATGGTAGCCTTTATTCTTAATCCTCATCCATGTACGGCAGTTGGGTGACTAACAGTTTTTCTTTTTTTTATTATGCTTATTCTAGAAATAACTCCAAGAATTTAGATTATAATCACAATAAGTTTACCCGTAAAGCTCAGAAAATAACTAATTATTCAGGAAGGGTTATAATTTTTTTCTGCTTATCCCCATGATGTATAATAAGTTTTATACCGAAAAAAGAACACTGAGGGTTAAGTCCAAACAAATAAGCATTGAAAATAGAGAAGTTAAGGTATTAACCCCCTAGAATTAACATTCCAGAACAAGTAAAATATATCCTTCTAAAGACAAAAATAAAATAAACAGAATATCATAAAAAATTCTATAGTTTCGTTTAGGAACGTTTTGTAAAATGTTTTGAACAGATGGAATATTTTATGAACCAGACTGCTGTTTTTATTTAGCAAGTAGTACTACTACATACTTCTACTAGCATTCCTGTCATACAAGCAGCACAGCTCAATGAACAATTCATAAGGAGGATAAGCCACCAGAAAACTGAGTGAAAAGTAGAAAGGTACCTGCTTCCAGTTGGCACTCAAATACTGGAGCAGTTTTCCAAATTTTAATTGTTTTAAAGCAACTCACAAGGGGGGGGGAATTCAAACAGCTCAATTTTAGAAATTTATTAAGTAATGATAGTGGCTTACAGAGTAGTGAAAATTTTTTTACAAATGGAAATGCATAAATACACCGGGAATATGAACATTGCGGGCGCAAAAAAAAGGGGGGACAGTTCTATATCTCCTGATCTACTGGGCCGATTGACAAAATTCAAAATGCGTATTTCATGTCTCGAAAGCGCGACTTAGGATATGTATTAGATTTATATACAGCATTGTATCTAATTCAGACATTTTCGACACAAAATCAGACTTTTTCTGTAATGACATGCCAATTTTTTTTCCATATTTCGATTCTAACGACTCAAATTATGCCTAAACATTAAATTTTGCAATATTTGATACGAAATTTACGAGAGGAATTCAAAAATTTATCTTGGCGCATTTTTCTCAGTTTGCGCCAAGAAAAATTTTCAGTTAATGCACTAATGGAATTCACTTGGCGAACATCTTAATAATGTGGCAACCAACTTTCCTTTCCCTTCCATTATGCTGGAGCGGAAAAAAAAGCACCTCATTCCTACCTTTTTATACTGTTCATGAGCGGGAGAAAAATCGCATCGTTTCTACTTCCAAATAATTTTAGCAAAGTGCTTAAACAACATCTGATGTTTTATCGCTTTCAACAAATATGACAAATTTTAAAACGCGCCAATAAATAAATTCACGTATATCTTGGTAAATTTTCAATAACAAATGTAATTTTTTGCAGGTATGCTTAGAAATACGTCTACTTTAAGATGATGGTAAAAATTTTACAGATTATAATACAAAATTTTTTTTGAAAAATTTATAAAAATTATTTAAAAAATAAATCATAAGAAATGCATGAATTTTATTTGGAATGAATCTAAATTTTGAAATGTGAAAGGAAGAATCAAATAAGTTTAATTAAAAAAGAGAGATTAATAAATATATACCAAACTCAATTAACATTGAGGAGCTAAAATTTTGAGAGCTCATTTTTTAAAAACTACTCGTACGATTTTTACAAAACTTGGTAGTTTGGCGTAATGTGAGTCGTAGAACCGAAATATGGAAGGAAAACAAAAGGTAGGTTATTTCAGAGAAAGTCCGATTTTGTGTCAAAATACCTGTATTAAACAATGCTATATATAAATCTAATAAATATCCCAAAACACGCTTTCGAGACATGAAAAACGCAAGTTGAATTTCGTCAATCGCCCCAGTAGAATGGGAGATATAGAACTGTCCTCCCCCCCTTTTTTTTTGCGCAGTGTACCATAGTGCTGCTATATTTGTTAAGCAATTCAAGCGAGAACATATAATTCGCTAACAATTAGGGCAAAAGGGACCATCATCACAAAGAACTCCGAAATCTCATTTCACCCATTATTGGCGTAGCGGAGGAATGGGTGGCAGTAATTATAAGCTGTCTTACTCCATTACGAAATTATGAGGATTGCAGCATATGTAAGCATTAATGGGGGGGGATAACGGGAATAAATAATGCCCAGGAATTTGTTAATAATAAGGAATAAGGAATTTGTAATAGCCTACTAGAATTTCCCACCTCGGAGATTAATGATGTATCTACGAGGGTGACTAAAAGTGGTGTCAGAACGGCCTCGGAGAGAAGGAAATTATTTAATTATCTAGAAAGCTAGTTTCCAAAATTACGACCGCCACATAGTTACTACTGTGAAAGGCTGGAGCATGACACCGACTGAAACCTATACTTTCGCATACAAGAAATATTAATCTTGCATGAGTGTTCACCATATAAAAGCCTTTTTAAGATACACACTAAAAGCTTACGTCTTTATTCAGAATTTTACTCACATACAATAACGAATATAGTACTTGACCGTAGAAAAAGAGTAAGGTGATATTTATGGGCCTAACGGAGATGGGTAACAGATGAAAAGACCATCGGTCCACGGAAAAGTGGTTTCATGGATCCTTTTTTATTTTTTAAAGGAAATTGGTTCGTATTTGACAGTTACACATGGAGAAATCCACAAGCAGTATTCAACGGATTTACTCATTCATCCGCTACCACTCTCTAGATTCAAATGAGAAAGCGCATCATAATCGTTCAAGGTAAAATAATCTATAATTTAACACTTTGCTCATAAATATGAGCTTCCTATGACATGTACTGTCATGACAATAAGCAGATGATAACCAAATGATCCAATTAATTTGCCAGTTTTACACAACACAGAATTCTAATAAGTGATTACTGCATTTTTTTAATATATCCAGCTACATATAAAAAAAAAATAATATAGAGAAAGTGTTTTAAAAAGAAACACCCCGAGCTTCATCTGAGAGGGAAAAGAAATACGTTTGACATGCTTGAGATAGTCCATGAATACATTTTGTGGAAGCAACTTGTATCGAAACAACTGTCAATTCCGTGCTACATGAGTTCTAACTACGCTATAGACCTACGCTTCTTAAACTTTCTTCAGTTGAAACCCCTATTTATTACTGAGATTTTTTTCGCGACCCCTGGACCCCAATAATATTATCAAAATTTTGTGGGACCCCATAAGCATTGCGCAAATCCAACATACGCGTGAGTGAAATCGTCAATTTTTTCGCTTGTTACTGTAATATACTTATTGCAGTTTCAGGTCATTAACTTTTAATTTCTAATTTTAAGACATAGAACAATGTGAAAATTTTAAATAAGTAACAGACGAAATGAGAGCGTCACCTGCAAAGCAAGTAAAATGAACGTCTATATTATAAAAAGAATGCATCGAAACGTTTTCGTTTTTTCTTTGTCTGTATTGTCTTATCTTTATCTATTTTCAGATACATTGTGTAAAAATATTTAGTAATTGTAAAATTTACTATAATAATTTAAAGAAATATCAAAACTGCTAAAATTTTTGGCGACCCCCTACTACGGGTCTCGCAACCCACAGTTTAAGAAACTCTGCTATAGACAATTCGCTGCCGAAGTCCTAGAAGTGCGGCTAGTAGAAGCGGCATACATCGTGTAACTTCGACGAATCCTCCAAAGAAAATCCAGAAAAGGTTAGGTTAACAGACTAAGTGGTCAGAGGCAATAACATACAGGCTTCTTGCGCACATCGATTAATTCCATCCCGAAATGTATGCTAAAAAAAGTCAGATAGTTACAAAAATTGTTTCGGAATTTTTCTAACTGCTCTTCACTCTTCCCCCCTCAAAAAAAAAAAAAAAAAAAATAATAAAATTACCCAATATAATAAAAATAAGTTGAAAATGAAATTTCATTCTTTTGTTGAATATGTCATAAAATATGATCCATTTTGGCTTTGACGAAAATCAAACTACAAATACATACATCCGAATGTATGCGGATGCATGTATGTATATCTCTCTCCAAATTTGCTGGAAAAGAATAATTTATTTTTTAAATGACAAAAGCTGATCTGTATAACGTACATTAATATTTTATGTTACGCGGGTAATAACTGAATTCATTTATGACATTAACATTAAGAAAGATAAAATGATTAGCAGAATTTTTGATTTCAAAAGGAACAGAAAATAAGGATTCCCCCCCCCCTCCGACTCAGTTAAAACGTTCGGTTTTCAAAAACCATTTTCACGCTATCTTACACCCTGCCATCTATCTTAGCTTTCGCTCTGGAAAAAAATATATAAAGAAAAAGTTAATAAAAACAGATCACCGATATATTTATGCAGCTCACGAATACCCGAAATGTGAGCTATAAATCAGCAACTAAAATGCACGGAGTAAAAAAAAAAAGGAATAACCCTTCATTTTTCACAGGGAATACACGCGCGCATAACAAACATCACCAAAGTATAAAAATATATTTTCCCGCAGTTTCGCATTTCACTGGCAGAGCAAAAGGGATACACAATGTGTTCCTTGAATATTATTCGTCACTGCAGGCGCGAGCGCCATCTATGACCGCACGCCAGAAAACTCGTTCGCTTGATAGGAAGTTGACAGAATCGAGTTGGACTTCGATCACAACTGTTAGGAGAGAAAACTTTCGCGAGCAAATCCGTGCGCAGTATAATCTTATGAACTGTTTTCGGTGGAAAACAAGAGTAACATTTCTGATGATTCAATACTTATGAAGAGCCCGACTTTGGCTTTTTCAATTAGGCTTTTATTTGCATATGTTCGATTTCGTTCTAATTGCAGTTCCAAACTGTCAGAAGTTTGAAGAAATATAAAAACGGATGCCAGAATTCAACAGATGTTTCCATTCGGAAAAGAAAACAAAATATATTACTCTCATGCCATACAGTTTTCTATCAATATAGATTCCTGGAGACAGGAGTAATGAAGTGTGACAACAACAAGCACTAAGACCGAGGTGAAAAATATTAGATATATTTTCAGATAAGAATTTAACCACAGCAAAGGATAATAAGTGAATTCCTTCTTAATGAAGCGATAAGAGGAGAATTCTTGCAGTTAAGTATTTTTGGATCAAGACGAGAGATTTAAGAAAACAACTACAATCGGAGAGTTTTAAATAGAATCAAAACATGTATTCGTTAAAAGTTGCACTAAAAAACACTTGTAAATCGCACCGTCATAGGCACCAAGAAAAGTACAGCAACTCTTGCTTTTAGCACTACTTGGCATTGATGATATTTAATACGTTTTAACCGAGTAGGGATAATAGGCTGGATATTTTAATCAGAAAAACTGGCTACGGATGCGCGAATTATCAGGTATGAATAAATTTTTAATTACCTAATTATATGTTAAAAATTCTGCTGCACAATAATATCTGTATTCAATTCTGTAAATTCATATATTCCTACACAAGTGAGTCCCGTAATGAACTGTTAAACGGCATGTCATTTCTTACGAAAGGAATTATTTAAATAATCTAAATTTTAGGAATGAAAGATTTGTAAATGAATTAAGAGAGAATTATTTGGCAGCAACGCCCAAATAAATATTAAAAAATTAACATTCTTAAATCTAAATGATTAAAAAAAAATTTTCCCTTTTCATTTCAAATATATATATATATATTTTAGAAATCAAACTGGGTTTTAATATATTGACTAAGCTGGCATGGAATGTAATCGAAAAGCTTTAAAATATGATGTAGATTTTGACTACGTAGTGTATGTTTTAAAACTTACAGTACGATTTTCACCAGTGAAACAGATCTAAATCTCATAGTATTTTATAGCGTCAGAAACTTCTGCACCAACTTTGGACGAACGCCATTCAAATCAACAACTGCTACGCAAAGCAGCTGTTACTCCTAACACGCAGTTTAAAAAAAAAAAAAAAAAGACAGAGAGAGAGAGAGAACTAATTCTTCTCATTCTCGAAAACATAGATAAGGGAAAGTGTACAGTGCAAATACAGAATGCGAAAAGCATAAGGGTTGTGACAGTGTCAACAAAAACTCGCGCGTGACTCTCGGTAGCCAGCGCCCCCTTGTGTGCACCAAGTTCTATCGGATTATAATAGTGTTTCCGGACATTATGATGTATCCACAAGAGGTAAGGTTTTTTTTTTTTTTTTAAATTATTATTATTTATTTATGGCGAAGCCGCGCTATGTACAAATAGCTTGATGTAATTTCGAGTTAAGTTTTAACTTTCCTAGACTATAATTATCAAATGTTCGAACTTTAAATATCATTTTGAAGGCAAAATATAGAACACAAGCTTTTTATTAGGAAATACAAATACTCAACCATTTTTCACGCTCTGGATAAGCTGTATAAATATTTAATATATATATAGTCTTTTGCAGAAGAGAATGCTTTTAAGATGAATACAGGTTGTAGAGACATTAGGTATTTTTTGAGAGCAGGCAAGATGAAAAATAAGCAATCGCCTTCGCCGGGAATCGAACACGGACCTCTGGAGTATACCGGCCCAGCGTGCAGAACCATTACGCTAGGAAGGCGGAAGAAATACTTTATATACTCCCCCTTTTAAGGGCGACTGGGGGTTTTTAGGTGGCTCAATCGCCAAATTTTGGGTGCGAAGAGTCAACATCCACAACCTTTTCTTAGTTCGGGCACCACTGTAGAGACATTAGATATTTTTTGGAAGCAGGCAAGAGGAAAAATGAGCAATCGCCTTCGCCAGGAATCGAACCACGGACCTCTGGAGCACCGGTCCAGCGTGCAGAACCACTACACCACGAAGGCACGCTAGGAAGGCGGGAGAAATACTTTATAAGGTATTTCCCATCTAAACTAAAATTACATATTCAAGATTTAAATATTTAAATGCATAAAAAGTATACCAATTGATTTAACGTTATTAACTTCAAAAAATAATTCTTTCTCAGAGCAGAACTGATATAAATTTAGAATACAGTAATCAGAATTTACCATTGTTTTTCTTGATAAGAAAATTATAATAATATAAAAAATATATAATTTATAAAACGTGGTGAAAATCCATCTCATGAATGGAACGTCTTTTCTAACAATCAACCCGTCAAAATGCACTTCTTTCCCTTCGGTAGAAATAGGGAAGTAGTATGAGAGTGAGTCATGGGTAATTATAATTATAGTTTTTTTAATAATGTTGCCTTTTCTCAATTATTACGAAGGCGTGAATAAGAGCTACTACTACGTTTGCGTATGTTTTCATTAGATAAGTAGAATAGGGAGTTCCAATTAATTATTTCCATCATCTAATTTTGGTATTAATTACTTCAGTTATTAATTTAATTCCTAGCTATAGAAAGGGTTGACTGCATGGGATTCCTTTTGAATTTTCTCATAAGCAACAAAAATATAAGACAGTTTAACCCTTTGACTACGAATTTATAAATTTAAAAAAAAAAAAAAATACCCCGTTTTCTATCCAAAGGAACAAAATATGTTATAAATAAGGTAAATTTAGGATTTGGGATTTTTTTGACAAACGGTTTTCAAGCCAAAGGTTGGGATACATTTGTCCCAGCCGTAGTTAGTGGCGGGATATATATGTCCTACAAGTAGCGATCAACTTATACGCACACCTATCATTCTGGAAAACTTTATCATGTGAAATAGATTTTACATTGTATGGTACAGGGTAAAGCATTCTTTGTATAACCTAACATTGCATATTGGGCAACTCATCTTTGTTCTTTTCTGTATGTTCATTTGCGTACAATGAGCACAACGGCGTCTTGATTTTCCAAGTATTGTAAGACGATCCCCAGCATTCAGAAAATTCTAAGCAGAAATCCTAGCAGTAATTTTTAAACTTTTAATGGGTTCTGTTAGTAGTCCAAGAGTCGATTACCTAAACATATAGCCATGGCCGGCCCTAGGCTTTTTGCCCCACGATGCAAACTGTGCGAGTTCTAAATTCTGCTCCCCCCTTCCTTCCTCAATTTAAAAAGTTTTGTCGCCTCTGAATTCTGCCGCCCGGTGCGACTGCAACGGTTGCATCGACCCTTGAGCTGACCCTGCATATAAATCTTGGGTGTTTTGTCATAAGTAACGATACGTCGTGATAAATATAATCTAACGTTGGTGAATTATAATATTTATTTAATACATCGCGCATATCCGAATACGAATGTGTACAATACACATACATATCCGAACATTAAAAGAAAATGCAAAGAGTAACTTCAATACTCTGCGCTGATCTAAAGTATTAAATACTATTAGGTTATTCAAGTGGTATATACACCTTCGTTCACACGGTGGTTTTAAAGTCATAACAGGTTTAAGCCGAGCAACCAGACTCTGCCACGTCACAAAAACTGGTGTAAGGATTTTGCCTAAACGTTCTAACTTGTAGACTTTATGCCAAGTTGATATAAGAACCACAAATCACAGCGAAGCAAACAATAGTGGATGGTTTCGCCGAGTCAGTTATATACCTTAACACATATGGATCTTTCCCTTACCTGACTTTAGCTATGGCTTAAACCCCGTTGTAAATGGACTAATGACTTTTATGACATAAACAGCAAAGTTTTATGACGATAAAACATAGCCTTACGCCCCTTCAACCTATCATTCTCCCCCCTCCCACGAATATAAAACATTTAGTGATCCTATACGCAGCTCGAAAATTCTGATTCTATGCAGGTTGACTTCGGAGAAGAGGCATTCCTCAATCATCTTAAAACGCATATAACTTTAGTTTTTTAAGTGACAATATATAGAATATTCTAATTTATTGAAATCTGATGTTATTTACGTAACTTGGTTTAGATTCGAGGGGGGAGAGGGGAGATATTTCAATAGGGTGTAGTGTTCTGCGTTTTCTATAACATTAAAAGAGAGTGTTGAAATAAAAAATAAAAAATTCGTTGTACTTTGATGTTGTTTAAATTTTCGAATTAAAAAAAATAGAAATTTTTATAAAAATTATGTTCAAGAAAGCAAATAATAAGTTTTTCTAAGGTTCAGTTACTTAAAATAATGTAATTTGTTTTTACAGATTTTCAAATGGAGAACTTAATGACCACTTTTTAAAAAGGAGGTGGTGGTTTTTTTTTTTTTTTTTTTTTTTTTTTTTTTTTTTTTTTTTTATTAAAGATTAAGGATGTTTTTAAAGAAATATTTCGACATTTAGTTCATATGCATAGTTAGTGGGGAGTCCCTCAAGAGGGGAAAAATGTTTTTATTCTTATACTATTTTTATTATATTATTTATTCTATAATAAATTAACTATGTTCCATGTTTAATTTCTGTGAAGTTTCATAAGGAGCTCTTAAATTCTGTGCAAACAGCTGAGGGACATAGCTAAAAAAATATTCAAAGGGATCCAAATATTGAATTTGACAAGCAGTCCAAAATTTAAAATAAAATAAATAAAACTAATAAAAAAGAAAAAACACATTTTTAAAGCACTATCTTCAATTATTATTAATAATAATAAAGAATACAAAACAATTAACCTTACACACTAAACTTTCACATCGTGTAGACACTTAAAATCAATGAACTTTGAGAAATATGTGCATTTTCGAAAATGTAACATTCATTATTAATCAGATAACGAATTATGGAAGAAATGATTTAGTAGTGGACAGATTGCTGTAACTTGTCCAAAGTATGCTAATTTTGTATAAACATTCACAATTAAAGCATATCTAAGAATTAGCTTTTTTCTGATCCTTTCATTTTCTGCATATAAAAATTGTTCACGACTGAAATACTTGCAGCGACATCAGGAATGATACACAGACAACATATTTAATTCGAGAACAATTAATAAATTATAGACGTATTAATCACAACCGCGAATTATGATCTTTCCGTTCATGTAAATTCGGCAACAATTTGGGTGTCAGGTATTTCGGTTCTCCCTTATTTTCGTAACGCAGATTTCTCACATCAGTCTATGAGAATTTTTATTCATCTCTTGTTGACATTATTTGATTAACTCCCAGTACCACCAAATGCATAAAGGGCATGCTTTGTGCCACCCAGATGGTATAGTGATTAGAAGAGTCTACAGCGGTACCAAAGTGCCTGGGTTCGAATCCCGGAGAAGGCACGGATGTTTGTAAATGTGTAGTGTCTTTGCGGCATGGGGGCACTCTAAATATATGGCGAACCGAAAGTCCTCTCGAGAGGTTAAAGGAAGGGAAAGAGGGGTATACGACCCTCGGACCCGCCTTCCCCGCCCGGGGTGCTCTCTATCAAAATTGGGTACGGAACTGAGCGACGGACAATGAAAGCCGCAATCTTGCTCTATTTGCCACGATGAATTTCGTGGGCTTGTTTTGATGTTA